GAGACGTTTGTCCACAGTGACACTGTTGACACAGAAGTTAATATATGAGAGCACTGATGTTGTGTGCTCTTCAAGGTCCTGATGTTCGAACACGCTCCAGTCTGTGTTTTCAAAACAGTCCTGTTGCCAAAGTACTTGCTCATAGGAGTTCATATGATTTTTTTTTTGTTATTGTAGTCTTTATCTTAAAGTATAACTCGCCTGTTGAGGCAACTGTTGCTGTGATTTAGCTTTATATAAATAAAATGGAATTGAAATGGAACGGTCTCAGCGGGGCAGTCATTTGCTGCAACCATTTGGGCTGAGGGGAGGGAGACAGAAGAAAAGACACACACTGTGGAAAATGATTTTAAATGAACAACTTCCTATATTAAAGACCACCTAAACTGACATCATAACGATGTAAAACATTAACCTTTATGACAAAGAACCGAGGTGGTCTTTTGTGCTAAAAAACTCATATTTGCAACTTGTGTGACATCCCATCATCGGGGTCTCTGCGGCTCACCACCTTGGCTTAAAAAAGGTATTCTTTGATGACTGCCACTGCAGATGCCTATATCTCAAACAACATAAAAGACTCAGCCAGGGTGCTGCTTTGCTGATTGCTGTCTTCCCCTCAGAGAGGGTTCTGTGCTCAGGCATCCAAATAGAGAAGCCAATAAAATGTAACAAATTGCAGCGTGTACAGAGTTGATCACAGAGTCACTGGTTTTGTTCAGCAACCCGTCAGCTTGCTGCAGATTTATCATGGTCATTTCCCCAAAGCTCTTCAAAGACCCTTCAAGAACACTCGAGGCTCAAAAGTCTTGACTTTTAAAATAAAAGCATAAAAACCCACTGTGCATTAAGAAAATGAGCTAAAAGCTAGAGACCGTAAATAAAGATGTCTTAGCTGTAAATGTATGTTAAATGTAACGAAGGCTCGTGCTAAACAAACAGTCTTGTGCTATAGATCTTAGATCAGAGTGCAAACAGATTAATGACTCAACTCTCAGGCTCTGAAAGCAGTTTGAATTCTTTTGTAATGTGGTCTAATTATTTGACAATGTATTCTTGCTTGAAAGGAAGTGCGGGGCCCACCCACACATTTACACATGCTAGAATCCAATTGTTAACGTGACCAAGATCAAAGCAGATCTGTCACTTCGACTACCTTTGCAGGCACTTCCGTTAAGCAGTTGCACAACTCTCTTTTTTTCTCACAGCATGCTGGTGTGTGCAAATTGTTTGATTCAGCTTTGGCTGAAAAGGTGCCTTTAACACAAAAACAAACGAGCAAGGAGAAAAGGCGTGCTCATGTGACTGACCTGGTAATTTTCTAAATCTCTGATTGTTAAAGCATTCCCAATCAATGCTCTTCAACAAAACCAGATCAGTGTCTCAGTATTTCTAGATATTCCTGTTGCTTGTGTTCATCCAGGTATCTAAAGTTTTGGTACAAGAAGACGCAGGTGGAAAAGAAGGCTCCGTTCATTGATATGTTTGGTGCCCAACCCTTACGCCAAATCTACGGTGAGTGTTTTTACAGACTGAGGCTCAAATTTTTTTTGCAACTTTTTTATGATAAATCTTAACATAAAACACAATTCTGTTTACTTTAAATATAATCATGATCAATAGTGTGCAAACAAATTGGCATCATTGAGAACCTGTTGAAGTCTCACAGTAGGAAATACTTTGCAACCTCATGGAGAGCGACCAGTGTGTTTGTAGACTTTCCTTTCATGCTGCTTAGGATTATGCAGTTTTTGCAATGTTGACTCTGTTCTCTGATTTACAGGCGCTCCACTTGGCGGCATTGGAGGAGGTACCATCACAAGAGGTTGGAGGGGGGAGTTCTGCAGATGGCAACTTAATCCTGGGATGTACCACTACAAAACAGTCATACCCAATCAGGTGATTACAGTGGCTGACATGACAGGATGAATTCTGTAATGAACTGAAAAAACAAAAACAAATTGGATTACAATGCATTTTTGTTTCTTTGGAAGTCAGAAAATAATTTTCTCCTATTGCTGGCAGAGTCTCAGTTTACAAATAAGTACCTGCTTATCAGCTGGTGTAGATATCATAAAAACATAAAAAGCTGTACAATCCATTTTCACTACATTGAGCTAGAATGTTTTGAGAGAGGGTGTGACTCCACGGTACTGGAACAACCCGCACACGTGTTTTTATTGTCACGAACACTATTGTTGTCTTCATCTCAGTGTGCAAATGGCAGCTGGGAGCACTTTCGCTTTGAGAAATATCACAATGTAGAATGACAAGGCAGACAAAGTAAGCACTTCCTTGCTTAGATGACATGAGAAAAATATTTGAGCTGTAACTTCAGTGGTCACTGGGAAACAAACTGCACTCGTAGAATCAGTCAAACCTGATTTTAAATATGCTTAAAAGGTTTGGTGTGTTTGCTCCAGGTTTTAAAAGCTTCTCATCAAGACTTTATGGCTTTACTAATAGCTCACATTTGGGCATATCTGGCTAATGCCTACAACACTGAACAAACTGAGTTTTTTTTTTTTTTGTAATGACTGTGCAAATGTTTTGTCTCCAAAGACATACCATAAAACGATTATCTGTCAACATGTCCCTCTTCTCATTTTCCTGTGTTCACAGTTCACTGTGTGTTTGCGTCGTGAAGGAAAAACTGTTTACCAGCAGGTGTTATCTGTAGAGCGTCCACCTACATTACAAGGCTGGAACTGGGGCTACTGCGGGGAGTACGCCTTCTATCACGCCTTGTATCCTCGCGCCTGGACGGTTTATGACCTGCCAGGACAGAACGTCACCCTGACCTGCAGACAGATTTCCCCAGTCATCCCTCATGATTATCAGGTAACCTACAGTTGAACTCCCTCCTTTATTGTACTCAATTTGTAATTTTTACAAGGTAAAAAGCTGGTAAACTGCCGTTAAAGTGCTTAAAAAAAAGTCCACTATTACCCAACAAATCAAGTACACCAGCGGTCCCCAACCCCCGGGCCACGGGCCGGTACCGGTCCGTGAGTTGTTTGGTACTGGGCCGCGAGACTTGAGACTCACGTTGGAAATTTATGGTTTTCAGAGTTTTTACCGTTAACTCTGTTTCCCTCGGTCTTTCCTGTGTTGTAGTTGTGTGTCTTATTTTGAAATAAATATTTACACGATACCATAGCGACCAGAGAGCATTAAGGCTCAGAGAAGAGGATGTTACTCTCAGTGTTGTTGGCGTGTTTCAGGAGGACGCTGCTAATAAAGTTACACAATTACACAGTGAATTTGTGCTTATTATTATATTTACAAAATATAGTTTTTATCTTGGTCGTATCATTTTATTTTGTTGTATTTAACTGCGACACCTTAAAGGCCCGTCCGTGAAAATATTGTCTGACATTAAACCGGTCCGTGGCACAAAAAAGCTTTGGGACTGCTGAACTACACCATACCACACCACGGTATTTCTAAAAACAAAACAGGGATGATCACCGGTGCTGCACAGTGAAACCACGCATAAAAAGACGGATGAACAGGATGTTCATTAGCAGATTATATGTTCTAATAAGGAATAATACTGATGTTTCCCAAGAACTTCTTAGTAGTAGATTTTCTGTAGTTTCTGTACTTTATCTTATTCGTTTTTAGCTCCTGTAATTACAAATGTTTACCCTATCATTCATTTTAGAGGACATTTACATGTTAGTTTTATAAAGGTTAACTCATCATCTACATCTACATCCTCTCAGGACTCAAGTCTCCCAGTTGCAGTATTGGTGTGGGACATAGAGAACAAGAACGAGTACGATCTTGATGTCTCGATTATGTTTACCATGGTCAACGGATCAGGACAAAAGGACGACAAGTGTGGCGGACACTGGAATGAACCATTTCACCTGGAGAAGGAGGGGGAGGCGGTGTCTGGGGTCCTACTTCATCACTGTACTGCAGTGAACCCTTACACTCTGTGCATCGCAGCCCGAGAGCAGGTATGATTTTTAGCAGCTGTAAGAAGGTTTTTGTGCTAACTAGGCGTACAAGTATTTCCCTGGGAATGAACTCTGGACTTTTAACAATAGTCTCTGTTGTTTGGAAATGTAATCTGTTGGTATTAATGAGTATTAATCTTTAGATTTGCCAACAAGAGTGTGTTTGTGTGCACGTTACCAGTCTGACAGGGAGATCAGCCACCAGACAGCGTTCAGTCCAAAGGGACCCTGCTTCAGTCTGTGGAACGACCTCATCGATGATGGACGGCTGGACTCTCCTACAGGTCAACACTTAGAAAAATATACTGTGCAGAGAGGAGACGGATGTCTAAAAAGTAGAATGAAACAAGATTGATGCTAAATAAATCCCCACTGTGGCATTAAAATTAGTAGAAGAGAATGCAAAATGTTTTATAGATTTTAGTGTAACCATATTTAAAGTAGCTTAAAAAGATGTGGAATGAAAGAAAACAGTAGTGTGTGAATCAAATTTTATTTCATTATAGTTATTTATTAAATTGTGAGTCATCTTTGCAGGCATACTTGCCAACCTTGAGACCTCAGAATTAGGGAGACATTCAAAAAAGAGGGGGAGGGGCATACATATGCATACACATATACAAATTTTTTTTTTAAAGTAAGTTAAATGTCACCGTTATTAGCCTACTGTCCCCCAGCTGGGGCTGTCCAAATTCAGAGGCTGCATCCACCTGAGGACCCGGCCTTTGTGGTCTAAGTGGGCCGGGTCCTCCGAAAGCCGGGTAGGCCAGTAGTGAGTGACTGTGACGATCTCGCCTTTAGAATTACGTCATGAGCTCTCTCGGTGGAGTGAAACTCTGCTGTCTGCTCCTTGCTATCTAAATATAACCGGACGCTGGCATAAATTCTCGACCATCTTACACTTCTGTTTAATCAGTTTTCTGTTTGACGTTTATTCAGCTGTGTGAAAACCCGGTGGAACCCTCCGGAGGGATTAATAAAGATTTATTTAATCTAATCTAATAACTTTAATCTCAGCCAAACCGATTTACTCAGGAACAAATAAGAGTAATATTAAAACTAAGTAGCTTCCGCCATTGTTGGAAACTGGAATTGGCTGGGATGAATGAATGAATGAATGAATGAATTCTGGGATATGGTTTTTCATTTTTTTCATTTTTGTTGTCCGGGTGGAAAATCAGGAGAAATTTGGGAGAACGGTGGCTCTGGGAGATTTTCGGGAGGGGTACTGAAATTCGTGATTCTCCCGGAAAAATCGGGAGGGTTGGCATGTATGGTTGCAGGACAAATGGTCTTCTAAAGCCACATCCCAGTCCTCCAAGTACAACCCTGGATTAGTTTCATATCTTTTCTCACACTTGCTGTCATTTCTTTACTTTTCTCTCTTTAAAAAAACACAAAATTACTTTAAGACACTGAAAACAAATTATATTATTTTATTTTCATTCTCTCTAAAGTCATCTCTGAAATATTAGAGTTTACAACAAGTCAGTAACCTCTTGTCTGTCTTCCCTCTGCAGGATCCAGTCCACCAACAGTTAAAGGAGAAAAGGTAGCTGCGGCAGTAGCTGTGGGCTGCTCTGTGCCGGCTCAGGGCCATAACTCACTGGAGTTCTGCTTGGCCTGGGACATGCCCAAAATTACCTTTGGGTCTCGGGAGAAGGAGCACATGAGGTAGCTCGAACACAAAAAGGAAATACACAGACAGTATGTTGCTTTTATAAAAGACAAAAATGTCACCAAAATGTGCTGGAAGGTTTAATACTGCATTTTTCAACTATGGGCTACTTTGTAAAGAAGCACTTTATCTTTTTAGCGTGTTTCCTGTGTTGTGAGTCTTTGCTGTTGCTAAATGTAAAACAGCTTGTTTGAATTTTGCTTATTTATTATAACTACAGCAAAAAAGCATCTCTGAAGGTGATGGGCAACAAAATATACATTCATATATATTAGAGCAGGGCGATATGACCAAAAATATTTATCACGATATACATTTGAAAATTTGCAATAACAATATAACTGACGATATAATTGACACTAGACAAGATACTTTACAACTCCACAACTTTTATTTGTGCAAAAAAAAAAAAAAAATCAACGTATTTTCACTTAAACAAGCAGCTGTTTTTTATGTGCATTAAAGTTATATAAAAATTTAAAAATGCAAATTCCTTACTGACAGTTTAACCAAAAGGCATTTCCAGTGGGAATTGGCCGACATATCCTCAGCATAACCATGTATAATATCCACAAAACTTAAAAAGAGGTTATATACACACACAATACGGTAATATTATGTTGAAGCACAGTACGTATCACTCCGCGAGGCTCCTGCCTATGATGGCTGTAATGCTCCGACAATCCATCAAGTGGTGCGGGTTCGTAGCTTAGCAAAGTCGTACTGAAACGTTTGACAGATTTTCGAGCGCCGTGTACATAAAATCGTTTCGAGGTCATTAAACACAACCAGAATTCATACATAAGGCACACGGGATTATAAGGGGCACTGTCGATTTTCAGAAAAATCAAAGGATTGATTTAAAGTGTGCCATATTTTCCAAAAAACACGGTAATAACGACGGCCCGCTAGCATGCTCTACCAAAAATAGTGCTTTGTTGTGTATCTGACGGACGAAAGCTAAACCAGTTCCACACCACTGAAGTTGCAGCATTTTTACAAACTCATTCTGGTTCATCTGTTTCATTCAACGACCGGCTTTCGCTCTTCTCATTCTGCGTCGCCGCCATGTGCGTATGAAAACAAAGGAACTGCGCATGCGCGTTTTACCCATATTCTATCGCCATATTTCATTTTCTTATCGTTGCCCAACATTATACCGGTATTACCGTGAACGGTATGATATGGCCCAGCCCTAATAAACACACACACACACACACACACACACACACTGATTGTCTTGATGAGTGTGTAGGATTTTGAAACTTGGGTTTTTTTTTAAAATTTTTATTGTTTGCAGGAGATACACTCGTTACTTTGGGACCAAAGGAGATGCATCCCCCTCACTCAGCCATTATGCCCTAACACACTACAAGCAGTGGGAGAAAAGCATTGAGGAGTGGCAGAGACCCATACTGCAGGACAGGTGCTTTATTACCCGTTATTGCACTGTGGACAGATACAGTTTAATGGCAGAGTTTGCTTCTTGTAGTATAGTTAGAAAGCCATTTGTGGTGTTTTAATTAGCTTCATTGAATTTATTGAATACAATTTCTTCCTTATTGGGCTCTTTGTTTTGTCATAGTGTATTTTATTTTGTTGAGCTCTATATTTAACTAGCTTTATCTAAAATTAGTTTTTATAGCACTGAAAGCTTTGCAGGTCAGAAACATCTACAGCTAATATTAAATAAATGTGGTATATTAGTTCAGAACCTCAGTAGCTAAGCACTTTTTTACTTTCTATTTCTCTCATGCGCTGCAGTTCTCTACCTTCCTGGTATAAGTCAGCACTGTTTAACGAGTTATACTTTGTGGCGGATGGTGGGACCGTGTGGACGGAGATAATGGAGGATGTTGACATCAGTGGCGGCATACGTAGCGAGGACGGAGGTCTGCCAGCTCAACCCACTGTCATCAAGGAGTATGGACGTTTCGCTTACCTAGAAGGTAGGCAAGAAAAGGGGTGCAGGGAAGTTATGAAAAATGAAACTCATATCCTTCAACTGTGACATGTAGATGGTAACAATTAATTAAGTGCATACTAACATAAAAGTGTTACAGTTTAGCATTTGTTTTTTTGTTAAACAAAACATTTCCAGTTTTATGTTACTCTCACAGTCTGGGCTATTTTGTGTGTGTGTGTGTGTGTGTGTGTGCGCGCGTGTGTGTGTGTGTGCGTGTGTGTGTGTGTGCGTGTGTGTATGTATATAAGCTTGTGCTTTGACCACACATTACCTGTTTTCCAGGTCAGGAGTACAGAATGTACAACACATATGATGTGCACTTCTACGCCTCTTTTGCACTTATCATGCTGTGGCCCAAACTTGCCTTGAGTTTGCAGTACGACATTGGTGAGTGTAGTGTGCATTTTTATCTGTGGTCTTAAGCTTGTGTGTTTCATAAAGAGCCATCCTAAGACCTAGTTTTACAGCATTACCCTCTTCTCAGCTGGCAGTGTGGTTCAGCAAGACCTCACGGAGAGACTCCACCTAATGAGCGGACAGTATTCTCCCATCAAAACCAAAAATGTGGTGCCTCATGACATCGGAGACCCAGGTATGACAAAGGCAAAAACCTTACTTACATTTTATTTCCAACAAAGGCCTGTTGGAAGCAGCATGTCTATGAAATGGAATGTAGAGAGGTGTGCAACACACTTTATTTATTAAATATGACACCCGACGATGTCACAGTCATGTTGTAACCGGATGATATTGTTGTATTGTATTAAAATAATCTTAAATACCAGAGTTTTAGTATACCCCTTCCTTGCCCTTTGCGGGGAGTTGCAGTCTTTGAGTGCTCTTGTTAAAAAAATAAATAAAAGATTGATGGCTGGAGTACCTTTTAGGCAGTTATTTTTCAGTTCAGCTCTTAGCAGAATTAAAATCATCTTCCTGACACTTTCTATTATCGTTTCTTGAAACTTTTTTTCTTTAGATGACGAGCCCTGGGTGAGGATGAATGCCTACCTCATTCATGACACCGCACACTGGAAGGACCTGAACCTGAAGTTTGTCCTGCATGTATACAGGGACTTTCATCTTACCCAGGACAGGCAATACCTCCAGGACATGTGGCCCATCTGCCAGGTATAACTGGTGACACATTCTTAATTACACTGTCTGCGAAGGATAATTCATTTTAGACATCGCATACAAAGGTGGATGTATATTAAATTTTTTTGTTTATCTATTAGGCAGTGATGGAGTCCGAGTTGAAATTTGACCTGGATGGAGATGGCCTAATAGAGAACTCTGGATATGCTGACCAGACCTATGATGGCTGGATAGTGACTGGACCAAGGTGAGAGTTGGACAATTAAAGTCATGTCAATTCAGTTTTATTTTTATTACATAATGCGAAATCACAAAAACAGGCACCTCAAAATGTTGAATATTTTAAGTTAAAGACCATGCAGTAATAGAGAGAAACCACCAATGAGCAGATGACCCACTTTGAGCAACCACTTGGTGACAAATGAAAAGGGGAGGCAAAAAATCTTTTAACAGGAAGAAATCTCCATAAGAACCAGGCTCAGGGAGGGCAGCCATCTGCTGTAAGCAGTTAGCAATGAGAGGAGGGAGACGAGACAAAAGACACACTGTGGAAGACAGTCAGAGATTAATAATAACTAATGATTAAATGCTGAGTGATGTATAAACAGACAGAATGTCTTTATACACAAGTAAGAACACAGCAGCCCAGGCCTATTGCTGCATAATAGCATTATTGCACATGTGTATCACATCAATGATGTGTCTTTGTACTTGAAAACTGGGGGTCAGGGATGACCTGCGATGCAGAAGCTCCTCACAGATCTGAACAGACTTCATTTGAGCTGGAGAATAAGGTTGTTTTTATTTTTCACTTGCTAATTTTGTGCTTCAAGATGACACTGAAAGAAAGTAGGCAAAGTACTAAACACACATCAGATGTACTAGTCCATTTTTTTAAATCGTGAAAGTTGTTGATTTTTGTTTTGTTTTGCAAGATGAGTTCAGGAGTACTAATTTTGAAATTTATACAGGCCAAACACTTAATTGGGTACACCACCAGCAACATGAACTGTTGATACAAGGCAAGATGGAGCTATCCTTCCATGCTGATTTTTTGTGTTTGTTTGTTTCAACATTTTTATTTTAAACTTTAGATGTAAACAAAACAAGAAAATCAACATTTATCAAACTTGTATTTCATTCTGTACCTCAAGTTTCAGAAAGCCAGCTGGTGAAAGGAGACCAAATACAGTTATACTGATAAAGTTTGTCTAACAGACCATGAGTCACTTTTTCGTAGGATGTTTAACCAACGTCATTAACCATTCTTCAAAGGAAGGGGGCACTTTTCCTGGTCTTTCCTGGTCTTAGCAAGACCCGTTTAGCCTTGGTAAGAGGCAGGATGATGCTTTTTTTTATATGGGGGGAGAAGTCGCAGTCAGAATGTTCTATGGTTATACTAACCATGGAAAGTTTTGGTGAGAGGCGAAATGTTCTTTTCAGAACACTGAAAATGACCTCCAGGATATTTTCCCACCAGTCCCAAAGTGCTGGATAGCTCCATAGAATATGTAGAATCAAGGCACTCTGGCCATCACATCTCCAGCAATTGTCCATAGGAATCAAGGTTCATTTGTGCAACTGTTGCAGTGTTCAATACCACCTGTGGATTATCTTTAACTGGATGAATCTGCTGCCTATCTCCTTATACATGGTAATAATATTATGAAGACATGACTCCCATTCAGCTGGAGAAATGTCCACTGCCAGATCTTGGGCCTAGCAACCTTTAACGTTGGAAAGAGGGTCAGCTATCTGATCTTGCATTAAATGGTAGATCTTAGGGGTAATACCTTTACCAAAGGGTGATCTTGAAAGCAGTGCTTCCACAGGGCTGCCCGCAGGGCAACTCCTGGGACTTTCCAGCTATTTCAATAAAGAACTGCACATTTGGACATATCTCCAGAATCAATTGTGCTCCAAATTTTATATAGCTCAACAATCTGATTGAAGCCCAGGAAATGGTTTGTTCTGCAATAAAATAAATGTGATACATAGAGGATGCCTGCCTTCCATGCTTTTTACACCAAATTCAGAGCCTGCCATCTGAATGTTGCAACAGAAATTGAGACTACTCAGACCAGGTTTCTCTTGTATACCATCAGTAATTTAAGCATATTCGTAATAATTTGGCTTTTAATCAAATATAGTGAGAATAAAATTTAGAGACACATATTTTGGCTTTTACATGCAAAGGTTTTGGGTAAATCTAAGTACTGAATCAGACTTGATAACCAGATTTTTCTTTTATGTGGTCCAAAGTAGTTTGCATCTAACAAAGAAGTAATATTAGTAAAAAAATATTGACTCCAGTGTAATTTTTTTTAATTTGTATTTTTAGTGCCTACTGTGGTGGTATGTGGGTGGCATCGCTCTGTGTGATGTGTAAAATGGCCAGACTGTTGGACAGCGAGGAGTTGTACTGTCACTACAAAGACCTGTTGGACAGAGGCAGTGCTGCTTTTGAGAAACTACTGTGGAACGGTGAGTCCAAACAATGTAGTCCTGACTTAAAATGTAATTCTTATGTTTTGGTCAGTGATGATGATAAAATGCACAAACAAATGCTTATTCTTAGGCTGGTAATAAAAAGTAATGTGTGGCTGGTATTCAAAGATGTCACATCTGTCTTTAGCTATTTTTAAATAATGTTTGACAGTGGACTGCTTGAAGACCTAAAGTGACTTCCCTTTTTGTTTCTCATCCCATCAAACACAGGCAAATACTACAACTATGACAGCAGTGGGAGAGATCTTTCTAACAGTGTCATGTCGGACCAGTGTGCTGGCCACTGGTTCCTGAGAGCATCTGGGCTGGGAGACGGAGAATTTCAGGCAAGTCTTTTATTGAGCTAGCATTAGTGTTCAGTTCAAGAGCGGTGCTTGTAAAAATGTGTTTATTATTTTATTGTTGTTTTGTGCTCTAGACTTTTGCAAGCTTAATGTGGGAGGAGCTAAATTGAAACATGTACACCAGAGTGGAGGAAATCTTTCCTAATCCTTCTGGAAAAATCACACCTTGCTGGAAACTGTTGTTAAAGTAAAGCTCATTCAGAGTTTAAAAATGTTCAAACTTCATTTCCAAGCCACTTTATACTGGAGAAACCCCCAACAATCAAACGAATCTCTGTGGTAACAGTGGGAAGGAAAAACTCCCATTTAACAGGACGAAACCTCCAACAGAACCAGGCTCACGATGAAATATTTCATCACTCATCCTAGTGATTTTTCCCACTAAAAACTCTACATTTAGATGAATAGAATCAACTTTCAGTTTTCTATTCAAGATTTTTTTTTTAATCTTAATATTTTAAATTCCATTCTGAATTTAACAGGATGCCAATAAAGAGAAGCTATTATGGGAGGAATGTCTTTTTATGTCCGGAAGATTGAAGGGAACGCTTGGTTTTTGACATTAAATGACTAGGCCTAAGTTTGACACATTTTGTAGCTGAAAAGCCACAACAGCTCTGACTTTACATTATTGATTTAAACTATCAAAAGATGTTGGGTTTTTTTTAATGGTTTCTTTTTTTTAATTGTAATGCCTGCACTGTACTAACTCCCTAAAAACGAATTAAAAATAAGTACAATTGCAAATAAATAAAACATAATATCATGTCTTTTCTGTCTGCGGGACTCCAGAATACATGTATGTTACTCGAGGAATGTTTCTGAAGGAAGTTATATGGGTTAATCATTGCTTCTTCTCTTCTTTTAGGCCTTTCCAAAAGAAAAGATCCAAAGTGCACTAAAATCTGTGTTTGACTTGAATGTAATGAGCTTTGCTGGAGGCCAGATGGGGGCAGTCAATGGCATGCGCCCTGAAGGAGTCCCTGATCGCTCCAGTGTTCAGTCTGATGAAGTGTGGATTGGAGTTGTATACGGTCTGGCAGCCACAATGATCCATGAGGTATGATCGATCTATCAATCTTCATCTTTTCTCTTTTTCTTATATCATTTTTTTAAAAGCAGCATTTTCAAAATGTCACTCTGGGTCATGGATACACTGGACAGTTGTTCAGTCAGCAGGGATCATATGTACCTACACGTTTGATTTGTTGGATTTTTATGCTGGATGCCCTTCCTGATGCAACCTCCAAAGGGATTTGTCTCCTCCTGGGATCAAACCAGGGATCTTTTGCTTGTTAGGTGAATGTGTATACCAGCTCAAAATAACTAATAAAATAAAATAATCATATAGTGACGATCACAAAATACATAAATTCTTTTTTTTGTTTCTTTTTGTTTCTTTCTTTTTTCTTTTTTTTCCCCAACAAAACACGTGAAGTGCTTTTTTCTTGCTTTTATAAGAAGCTAAGGAGTTACTGGAATTGATAAACGGGTTTCTGTTAAAGCAGAAACCTGTTTATGTTATGGAATACTTTTTGATTCATGTGATTGTTTCCTGATTTCTAATGCAGTCTTTTTACTTAAATCTCAGCAAAGAGGCAATTAAGTGTCTTCTATGAAAATGTCTCAGTTACACAGGCCTAAAGACTGGTTGGCAACTCCCTGGCAACCGCTAGTCACTAGAGCGATTGCTGGAGGGACCGTGGAAGTGGTGGTGTTGTTGTTGTTGATTTTTGTAGCCATTTAAAAAAATTGTGGTTTTGATTTTTGTGGCATGGAGTCTGACAGCATCACATTTTTCTACCTGCTCGGATTGCTTTGAATCCTGTCTGAGCAGGTACTATTTTTGTACCTGGTACCAGGTACTATCACCTAATGGAAAACCCTTAAAACTGTGGCAACCCGTGCCAAGTCGATCCAAGTAAGTGCTAATGAAAAAGGGGCTTTAGTTTCACTCCTGCTCAGTGTGTGTTTTCAGATATGTTGGTGCCTTTCTCAGGCAACCGTGAAAATCTGCTAGAGGCCAGAGCAATCATTAGGTTTTTGTTGCAGGGCCCTTTTTGTGACCATACCCAGCAACCAATAGCCATCCACTCAGGAGATGGTGATTTACATAGTGACAAGAGGTTGCCCATCAGTTTCTAGCCATGTGTGACTGAGGTACAAGCTGCACAATTACCTTTACTACCCTAAAAGTGACTTGATAATACTTGACAGTGTGGGTGTTTCTAAAGTTGTGGAGATATTGTGATCCTGAATTAAACACTACCTCAAGCCTGCAACTATTTGCCTTTTCCTCAGGGAATGCAGGAGGAAGGTATGCGTACAGCGGAGGGCTGCTACCGGACGGTGTGGGAGAAGCTGGGCATGGCCTTTCAGACCCCAGAAGCCTACTGTGAGAAGAATATCTATCGTTCTCTAGCCTACATGAGGCCTCTGAGCATTTGGGCCATGCAGCTCGCCCTGAACACTTCACAGAAGGATCAGACCACAACAGCTTAGACTGGAGTCACATACTGAACTAAGACCCGAGTCATTACAGGAGGGAACAGGAGTTCCTAGAAACTCCGCTGTAGCCACCACTTTGATCTGGACTGACACTTTGAGGTGCTGTTTAACTGTTTACAGACCCAGAATTAAATTTTCCCAAGTTTGTTTCACTGTAAATGTTTGAGGCTATGGTACCGGATTGTACATTTTCCTCTACAAAGACAGTAGGTGTGAAATAGTGATCATATTGTTAGGCAAGCACATTTGATTTTCTTTCTGTGTATGAAGTGTTAGCCAGGTAATAGCAAAAAATAAATGAATAAATCATAGCCTGTGTCTATTAAACAAATTACTTTGTTACAGAACATCAAAATACTGTTTGCATACACATAAAAAAGCAAACACTACACTTCGCTGTTCACAGTCATGGCTATAATACCTGCAACATGTTTATTATATGATTTTCTTTATCCCCTCCCTTCATCCCAACTTGATTGCTGTACTAAGTGGTGTAATTTTTGATGAGTGGTTTTGGAGATTAAGCCTGTAGTGAAAAAAAAAATTATATATATATATATATATCTTTTTTATATAGAATTTGGTGCATTCTTGTATGTTGACCAACTATATCTACAGTATATAAATGTGGCAGCAAAATTTTCCGTTTTGTAAAAATAGAATATTCATGACAATCATGCTGAATAAATGACTGAATAACATACAAGGAGATATTTGTTTTCCTTTTAATTAAGTATAGTTGGGTATATCTTTAAAACAGAATTATTTTTTTATTTATTTACATGTTTACTGAAACATCTTTTGATTAAAGCCTCTCACCTTTCGCTTCAAAGGATGCACATTTAAATTGGATGAAGTGTTTAGGTTGTTCAGCTCCTTAACATTTGGATGTTGTGGTGCAATCGGTTAGCGCTTTCGCTTGTTAACCGAAAGGTTGGTGGTTCAAGCCCACCCAGGGACGATATCACTATTATTGCCAGGTAATGCAGAACGCTGCACAAACGTGCAGTGCAACTACTTTCTCGGAAAGCACTGGTGTTGTTTCACAATAGCGTCCATGCTAGACGCTGTCGTTTGATGAACGCAGTCAACCGTTTTATCAAGGGTGATATGCTTATTTGGATTGGTGTTGTTCGTCCACAACTGCATACTGACTGCCACCCACGGACCATATAACTATTACTGCCAGGTAATGCAGAACGCTGCAAAAACGTGCAGTGCGGCTGCTGCCTCAGAATGCGATGGTGTTGTTTCACAATACTCTCAATGCTAGACTTGGTCGTTTGATGAACGCAGTCAACTGTTTTATCAAGGGTGATATGCATCTTTGGGCTGCTGTTGTTCGTCTGCAACTGCATACTTACTGCCAAGTTCATTACCCACCAGTCACATATTTTAAACAATCAAGGCGGTATGGAGAGGAAGTACCAGAGCACCTCCATCCAGCCACCCGGTCCTCTCTCGACGCCCTTGTTTGGCTTTACTCAGTCTCTGTTGCACAATCGTTTACCCCACAACCAAAAAGACCGGAACACCCTCCCCCAGTCCCCCGTCCAGTCTCTACACCTGTGGGTACGCGTTGTCAATCTCTGTGGCGCAATCGGTTAGTGCGTTCAGCTATTAACAACCAAAAACACCGGAACACCCTCCCCCAGTCCCGACACCTGTGGGTTGCACGTTGTCAGTCTCTGTGGCGCAATCAGTTAGCGCGTTCGCCTGTTAACCGAAAGGTTGGTGGTTCAAGCCCACCCAGGGATGATATCACTGTTATTGCCAGGTAATGCAGAATGCTGCACAAACGTGCAGTGCGACTGTTATAACACTTATGTTTGTTATACCATGTTTTAACCACGCATGTTATAACCAAGCATGTTATAACCATGTTATAATCAACCAGTTATAATCAGGACGGTCATTTGATGAACGCAGTCAACCGTTCTATCAAGGGTGATATTCATCTTTCGGGTCGTGTTGTTCGTCTGCAACTGCATTCTTACTGCCAAGTTCATTACCCACCAGTCACATATTTTAAACAATCAGTCTCTGTGGCACAATCGGTTAGCGCTTTCCCCTGTTAACCGAAAGGTTGGTGGTTCAAGCCCACCCAGGGACGTTATCACTGTTATTGTCAGGTATTGGAGAACGCTGCACAAACGTGCAGTGCAACTGTTATGTTGGTTATACCAGGTTATAACCAAGCATGTTAAAACTAGAGATGGACCGATCCGATATTACGTATCGGTATCGGTCCGATACTGACCTAAATTACTGGACCGGATATCGGAGAAAAATAAAAAATGTAATCCGATCCATTAAATATCACAAAGCACCTCACAAAACTTGCAACACGCCGTAACTCGCCTCAGAACGTTAGCACGTCGGAGCAGTATGCATCACGTGATAGAGCGGCTGTGGCATGCTGGACCTGTTGGTGGTCTGGATAGCATGTGTGTAACATAGTTAAATAGCGTTGAAGTTAAATCCCGCTAAATGGGACATTGGCGCCACCTACTGTCGGAAAAGTCACCCTGCAATATTCACAAAGGGCAAGGGATTCTGGGTAATCCTCAGAATAATGGAGGATTCCTGCGAGGTAAGGAATGCGCAAATGTCGTGG